GGCTTGATATATATTATATATATATATATATATATATATATATATACATATATATATAATTTTTAACATGTGTATATACTAGTGGGTTAACGTTAATTATCCACTTAAAAATTTCTTTCAAACTATTGTCTCATTAAGACTGTCCCGGGATACGAACAAACACATAATATGAGCATAATGTTCCCAAAGGACGTTCTGAAAGCAATAGAGTTCAGAGAAATAATCTGGATCAACATTATCAGAAACATGCTGAACAACGTACACATACTCCATTATTAACATATCGATATTACTAGACAGTAATAATAATAATTCCCTAGTGTAATAATAATAATTCCAGTACAGATTACTAAACTTACATATAGTATCAAATGAGTACAATTCTCGAAACAAACGTCGTTCATCATCAATCAACCAATCAATTTCTAAAACAAATCTACTTAATTAGTAATGATCATTTAATTCAATTCCTCTATTAGTTTGTAGTATAAATTGTGTTAATATTAACTTCTTTAAAATGATATTCTACTGATTAGGTAATGTGGCACAAGTAAAGTCGAAAACCAAAAAGTTTTAAACATCGCGATTAGTTTGATAAAATAAAACAATTATTTATGACAACTAAGAGAAGATTGGCCAAACTACAGACGGAAATACACAAACATTCTACGGAAATTTATCAATGGACCTAGGCCCCAACGTTCAGGTTACAGTATTTCTCCTAGAAAACAATTCATGGATAAATTTGGTGGTGAGTGTTATGCATATACTGTGTCCATGATTAACTTTAATAGTCATATTTGTGTTGATGGTGGGTATATGTTTAGGTAGAATAAATGAATTAAGTAAGGTAATTAGTTTATAGGCCCTTACCAATTACTGTACATTTTTTTTAGAAATGATACATTTGTGACATATTTAAGATTACTGTCGATCGAAATAGGAAGTTTCTACCTATATTAGACATTTTATGTTAATAAAATGTTGTAACTTTTATATATTTATATACTCTAATTGTCTAGAGGTCATAAATAATGTTTTTATTTACATGGCCTTATAGTCAAATCACAGGAATCTAAGTGACTGTACACAATGACACGTGTTCAGAACAGCTATAAATCCAGAGTAAATATCGACAGTAAAGTCATTATTTTCAATCAATTATGCAGAAATATAGAATTATATTCACTTCGTAAGATGAAGACTTTGATGATCTATGTTGTTACAGATTTGCCGACCGGTAGGCTTTGAATCCTATACGTTATCTGACGTAATGGGTTATACACTGTAATTTTAGGACTTGAAATAAGCATAATTATAATATAGATGAGAGATACTCAAAAGAAGTAAAGTTTGATATGTGAACATTATACACGTGTGTGTGCGTCTGTGTTGGATTTAATTATGTTCATTATTGATTGACTTCTCTAAATTCCATAATTGCTCTTAGATGATGGACACAAATAACATATTTTTTTTATGCAGGACTATAATCTACCCATATAGTACAGTACGGTATGTCTCATTCTTTTCTCCCTTTTCAGGCTTTCCCATCACAAGATTTGTTTTTCTCATTTTCTCGGGTGTTGCCTTCTTTCTTCTTTTTTTTTCAATTTACATAATTAAGTCCTCGTATTTACTTTATATTTATAAAAAAAAATCTGTTGCTAATAATCAATCTTTGCTAATGAACATTCAGATTGAGATTTCAATGGATAACGCCGACCTTCTAAAAATTTTGAGGGAGATAAAGTACAGAAGAGCAAATATATAGTGAGAGAAAAGGCCTATCTCATTATAGAAACGCGGCGGCCCAGATAATAAAATTTTATTGTAATTGTACTGGGATTATAGAATTTCCATTAATGATGAGTTGGGTTTAAAACCTTAGCGTCAATTGTACCTGCAATATAGGCCTGTTTCAAACTTATAACGTTCTAAATTGAGTTTTAGCTTTTCAATTAATTTTAGTGATATCAGAACTAAGTTTAGAATTGTTACTATAAGGCCTGATCTATATGAATGATACGACAAATATATATCTTTTATTTTTCAGGAATATTTCTGTCGCACCTGCGACCTTTCTCAGCGTGTACTGACGGTAGATACTGGCATTATGATAAATAAATATTTCAGGAAAAATAGAAAGCGGTGATATAGTATACAATTGAGATAAGTGCAGGAAAATGCAAAAATAAAAAAAAAATCACCGAATGATACGACAAATATATATCTTTTATTTTCAGGAATATTTCTGTCGCACCTGCGACCTTTCTCAGCGTGTAGTGACGGTAGATACTGGCATTATGATAAATAAATATTTCAGGAACAATAGAAAGCGGTGATATAGTATACAATCTTCGAGACTATACAATAAAAATGCATTAAAATTAAACAAAGGCTTGTGGCATTTATGGGATGAAACAATAGAATATATGATCATAATAGGTTGCACCTTTGCAAATTAGTGTCATTGGCTCACCCCCCCCACACACATGTCTCTTATACACATCT